CACTGCTACCTCCTGCCTTGGTAGAGCTCATAGCATACATCTGCTATAAGTTCTTGAAGTATTTTATATGGTAGCAAAAGTAGTTACAGGGCAAGGAAACATTACTGAACAGAATTGAAATGATCAATATGTTGTTAGGGTGGGTATTTTTTGTTGTTTTTGTCTCCCTCTTAAGAAATGGGCATCCCAATTTGCTTTCTGTGATTGCTCCTTCCTGTATTTTCAAAGGAGTATCTGATATCGTGCATGGAGTTTTGAGGAGCCACTGCAACCAAAATGCTGAATAAATGAAAACCAGAAATTTTGGTAGCCTTGCAGTTGGTAATGGAGGCATTGCAGAGCTTTCCTCCTTCAAGGTTTCATTTCAGATCTATACAGTTGCTGCCAATGAGCAAGTGTTGTTGCTGCTCTGTGTCTGGTTGTCTATGAGACTAATTTAGTGGAGGTCTGGGTGGCGAAGCATCTGCAGCGCCGCAATTGGCATCCTTGATGGATTGCCTTGTTGATGGTCTTAGCAGGGAGAGACTGGGGATTGATTGGGCTTGGGGATTGACTTACCTGCTTAACTCTGCCATTAGATTTCCAACAAGGAGTACGTCATCTGGAAATTTATCTTGGGATCTCCATATGGATTTAGGATGCATGAAGGAAGTATTATGCTTATGCCATGATCTCCACCTGTGCTGCTGTTCTGTGGCCTGATAGCAGCTCGGCTTCCAGAGGTGTCAGTGTGGTGCTTTCTAGAAGCACAAAATTCATGTTGGCAAGTGCTTCATATCTGTGTTTAATGTATCTAATTGCCATCCACCAGAGCAAGAACTGTTTTTTTTTTAAATAGTAGATTACACGGTGACTGACAGACTGGTCTGAGTCTTCGTCACAGCACATTGCTTATTATTAGGGCATATGCACTCTAGTTTCCATCTGCTTTTAAATTTGTTGCAATTATCTTTCTATGCCTGGATTTTCTTCATTAGAACTAGTTAGCCCCCTGGATAGAGCTGGTCATTCAGTGCTCCAGCCGTCCTCTGTCTCTGCAGATAATTTCCAAAATGCTGTGCTGCTTCCTCTTGCCTTTTTTTTTTTTTCCACTCCCTTTCTGTGCTACTTTTATTTGTTTATTGCTCCACTAAGCTAAGGATCTGAATGAGTGTTTCTCTGCTGTGCTAAAATCTCTGCTCGAGCGGCTGTTGGCCCAAGGAGAGCCTTAGGACCTCTCAAACCATTGCATTATTAAGCTTGCCTCTTCTTTCCCCTTCCCTACCTACAGAATCCCTTTTTATCCACACCAGTGTGCTGACTGTTGCTTTTGTGTGGCTGGTAGCAGAAAATCTTGAAATATGCAGTGGATAAAACATTGCAAGAAATTATTCTGCAGCAATTGCACGACCCTCTCATCATTCTCTGCCTGCGCTGCCTAGACTCAATGCAATTGCCCCGTAGGGTATCAGGACCTCGAGGAAATTCCCCAGCCTAAAATTCCTTTGTTATAGCACCGTAATAAAACTACTAGGCTAGTAAGTATGTTTTGTTTCACAGTGGGTTAATCTCCGAAACTAGTAGGAAAATCGATTTCTTGATATTCTTGCTCTGGAATGAAGATCGGTGGGCAGTAAAACTTCAGTTTTTCCTGTTGGCCCCAATGAAGGGACTTTTTGCTCTGGATGATATATTTGAAATCCTGAGGTACAGGCTATAGTGGTCACTCTGCATTTCCCCTGTTCCCTGTACACTTGTAAAGTCTATTTAGTTACCTGGGAATTGAAAGGAAAGTTTATCTCAAATCTAAGTATTTACTGGTAATTTCCGAAATTATTTGAAAAAAAAAAAAAAAACAAAGCAAACGAATTGTAATGCTATTTGAATAAAACATTTAATTTCAAAACATTGATTGCATTCATTCAATATTGTTACAAAGAAACCACTAATTACTCTGTAGCATGTTAGTGAGGCCCCTGACAAATCCATGCAAATCATGTGATTTATAATTCATAAATCCCTCATCCCTGGAGAAATGTTGCTCTTGCACTTACACTAATTGACTACTTATGTTCATTGATCCAGTCCATATAGCACCTTTAGTCCATATGGCAAATTTTAGCGGAGGGCCAGTAACTCGGGCTGCGGAGCGAGCCGGCGGTCCGCGGCACTGTCTCCCTTGGGAAGCGCCCTTCCCGGGCGCCTTCCTCCCCGTCCTTCCGTCTTCCCGCGTGGCGGGTGCTCCGAGCGGCGCTTACGTCCCTCACCCCTGCCTGGAGAGGTATGACGGGTGCGCGGCCCAGCACCCCCTGTTGGGGGGCAGGTAGTAGTTCTTGCATGTGAGCTACTTGTTCTGGAACAGCTACCTGATACCCCCACTATTTATATTGTATTATTATACTAATACTTGATATTAATAAGTTGCTGCCTGCTGTCCACTCTTAGCAATGGTCCACTTGGAAGTATTGCGCAGTAGGTATTGACTTTTTGCCCATGGTGTTGTTTGCCAGCATGTTTTCCATGTGAAGGGAGTGGATTTTCCTCACTCACCATACAGTGGTTGCCCATGGTTATAAATCCCCCAATACAAAATCTATTACCTCGTATGTTGTTGCTTGTGAATAATCAGGGCCCTGGTGAAAGACACAGAATCTGATGCAAATTCCGTAGACTGAACGGGAAATAAGGCCAGGGGCTAAAGATATATTATGTTTCAGGATAATACTTTGTAGCTGATTATTGTTATCTATTTTTGCAATAATTTTAGCCTAGTTTTATAACATAGCGTAATTTTAATTGTTATCGGAGAATGGCATCACTTAATTCTCTCAAACCTGTACAAAGATAGATGAATGACAAATTAATAATTTACCATCTTTGCATAATACTGTAGCACAGAGAACCAGAAGGATTGATGGCAGAAGAGGTTAACAAATTTTAGCGGCTTCCATTAGCTTTTCATTGTCATATGTTTGTGGTGCTGACTGAAATAAGCTTTGTAGGAGATCTCAGTCTAGGGAACTAATTACTTGTGTCGATTGCCATACTGATGAATAGACCCTCATTGTATCATTCCCCTGAAGACGAGGAGCAGTCTGTGATTCACGACTGCAGCCTGGCTGATATTTGATAATAATTTTAACAGATAAATGTAGGAAGGCAGAATGATGAAGTGCCTATCCACGCTCCCCGACTATCAAAGGCATGCACATAGCCAGCTGTGTGCTGCCGTCTTTCTATAATCGCTAATGGAGAATTTTAAGTTATTAATCGAGCTCGGAATAAACCGATATCTTCCTGGATTTTTGTAGTGATTTTTTTAATTGGCACGATTGCTCCCAAATCACTGGATTTTGTAATCCAGACATTCAAATTTTAGCATGATTGTAGCACACAAAGTATAAAAAAGCAGATGTTTGGTAATCTTTTTGAAATATGTATTCCAGCATTTTTCTGAGAGTGAAAAGTCAGGAAAATGAGGAAAACCACTGCCTTTTCTTTGGTGTGTTTAAAAAATGAATAAAAAAAGGCATAGAAATGTAATGGAGGTGAACATGCAAAGATATTCTCCACTTGTATAGGATTGTTTTCAGTCACAATTAGTAATTTTTACAAATCATGTTTGAGAGCAGGGCTACACAAATGATTGTGACTTTTTTTTTTACTATGTTTGTTGAAAAAGCCTGATTTGCCTTAAATAAAACTCATTTGTAGCCATCTCAGACCTCAAAAACGAAGAATATAGATATCAAGTGTTCTTAACATTGTGATCTGTAAATTAGTCATGGCTATTCATTTGTCAGTGTTGACAGGTACGCTTTTTATTAGCTGTGCACCAGAAATGGGAATATGGGTGCCTTTTCATGCATTGTTTAGATACTAGTTATTTTAATAAACAAAATAATTGTTTTATCATTTGAGCGTACAGGTTTTCAGGCTGTGAACCTATCATGATTATTCTGTGCATTAGACATTTTACATTTTATTTATTTTGCTTTACCCAAAATTGCTTCTTTTCTACAGTCTCTGGGCTAAAATATTATTTTACAATGGCATTCATTCATGATCATCTAACAAGATAGTAACTGGCACTTATATATGACCGAATTAAAAAGATCTATGTATATTTGGAGCATACAGTGGAAAATAATGAATTTGTTATAACCTTTTCTGGATGTAATTTTTTAAAAGTATGCCTTCAATATAGCAATTATTGCACATCATAACATGTAGTTTTTAATTAAATGTAAAAACACAACTACATAAAACAGAAATCCGATCTGATTTGCTTGAAAATAGATTGCTATTTCACTCTCCTGGAATGGTTTATTTAAAAACAGTAAATGGAAAAGAAATGCATTTTCTTGTGTTGTTCTAAGCCTCAGGGGCTAAATGTAATGAATATTTTAAGAGATTATTTTAATTAAATTCCTGCACATCTAAACAGAGTAATATTTTATTATCACATACATAACCATGTAACTGAGGTATTCATTAAAGTTAACACTTTCTGGACCAAGAATTCATGGTATGATTTACTGACCTTGTGCAAAAAGGCACAAATTAGGAAGAAAAATGAAGGGGGACAGACTTTGATTAATATAGGTAATGCTATACCATATTTATAATAGCCTTTTCCCTATTCTGGTTTATAAATGCAGTCACTGAGAAAGGTGCCCTGCTGAGGCTGAAATGAGGCTGAAATCGGAGCACATGCCACTAGAGTGTGGGGAAACTGATCACACTGTCAGCAATTCATTTCAAAATGATGTATTTAGTGCTCATTTCACCTTCCAAGAAAAAAGGGAAAGGAGTTCCTTAGACTGGAAGGTGATATTGTTATTTTCAAGGACATACCTAAGTAAAAGATTGCAGAAAGGGGGGAGGTTAGCAAAAAAAAAAAAAAAAAGGAAAAGAAAAAAAAAAGGGCAGAGCAAACAAGGAGAGCTTTATGCAGAAATTCAGTGCTACCATGCTGTTTGATAATTGCTAACATATGTGGCTCCTCTGTTTCATTGTAGTCGTCCTCGTGAGTTCTGGCGCCTCGACTACTGGGAAGATGACTTGCGGCGCCGGCGACGATTTGTGCGCAACCCCCTTGGATCGACACATCCTGAAGCGACACTAAAAGCAGCTGGAGAACATGGTCAGTGTAAAAACTGCTCCTTGCCAAAGCAGCAGGTTACAGTACCCACTAGTGAGGACTAGACCGTCACTGTTGCAAAATACTGAGGAAGGTCCCAAATGCCAGAGACGTGTCCAGCACAAATATAAATAGGCCATTATTTATTATAAGCAATGTTAGTATTTTTGAATGCTCTTCGCTGTTTCTTAGTTGATCTGGCACACTGTGCATATTTTGCATACGGTCGCACATACGGTTCTCGCTGCAGATACAATTTTTCCAGTAATCTCTGGAGCATTTTTTTTTTGTGTTCAATGCTTTAGGAACTTCAGAAGAAAATATTTCCTGTTCAGAAATCCACACCATTACTTCAGATAGTCTTAGCTAAAGATTTTCCTTTGCTTAAAAAAAAAAAGCTAAAGCTAAACAGCTATTCAGACCTTTGCATATGCATAAATCTTCAATTTAACTACGGGAATTTAATATGAAAAAATAGTAACAAATACCAAAACACAACAAGCAGTAAATGGCAATGGAAATTCCTACTTGTTTCTTTTTTTTTTCTTCCATTTCATGATCAGGGACTGCTAAACCATATATTTCTTTGCCTGTTCTGGAGGAACATGTTTAGAAAACTAATACAATAACCAGCTTGAGAACCAGATGATAAACTAGAAGGAATAAAAAAGCATAGCTAGCAGACTTTCCATTTAAGTCTAGAATTTTATGCCTTTGGTATCTAATTAAGATAGCAAAGGTATCTTAAATTGATAAGGTATAAAAATCATTCTTATATTTAAAAATAATTTGCTTATGGTTAAAGCTAAGTTAACCCTTTACATTGAAGTTGCATGTTATAGAACAGAATCATTTAAATTCTCTTTTAGTCTGAATTACTGTGTTTCTGAATATATATATATAGTGTGTATGTGTGTGTGTGTGTGCCCATAGGTACACACCTGCATTATATGCAGTGACATGCAATTTATGCTGATAGAAAATTATCAAGATGATTATACTAGTGTGGAATACCACTACTGTAAGGTAAGCTTCTGTCAGGCATCTTAACCTCTTGCACTCAGCCTTAAAGGGCCATTTCTGGAAGAAAATGCCTACAATATGTCAGCTGATATAATGCCAAATGTGACATCAGTCCTCTACAATAAATGACCATATGGAGAATCGTCAATAAAGTGATCTAAAAGCAATAATGTTTCTAGAGCCATACATCTTTGGCTGTAGGAACAGGAACAAATTGTAGAATTAATTAACCCACTTTTTGCTTTGGGGCTTGTTGTTAATATTATGTGTTGTTTCTGTGCAATGGACTTCAAGGGCATAAGGTGTCTTTTGTTTAATAATGTTTAGATTAGAAAGAAATTCCTCCTTTGTCCCTTGCAGTTACAGATAGTTTAAATAGATCTTACCATAATTCTATGGAGTTTACTGATATTTTCAGAGGAATACTTTTCATTTAATCTTTATATTGTTTATCAACGTTTTAAAAAATACCTTTGTTGTTTTCACTGCAAAATATTTACAACTGCTATTTCTACTTGTATAACCAATTCTGATTCCATAAGTAAGCACATGCTAATACCATTATTCATCTTTTATGCTACTGTGATGATATCACTAATTTATAGTATATTTGAAGGGCTATCACTCATACTCAATTTGCAATTTGGCAGGAGTACAATTTTTGTCTATACAAAAGTATGAGTGAGTAAAGGTAACTATCTGATAATATGTAGCTTCTATCTAAGTCTGGTAATTTAAATAGAGCTAATTATTTTCTGTCAGCCTTTTCTTCATCATTTGGCATCCTTAACAAGCCTCTATTTAATTATTGTTTTCTTTTAAATCTGAATTTAATTGCATAATGTTGCAGTTCCATTTCTATATTTATGCAGTGAATATTCTAGTTTTACCTTAAATATTTTTTTCATTTGTATGATTTCTAAAAATATGAAAAATTGCCATCTGACTGATGCTATATGCACTGATGAGATTGTCTTATTCCAAGACTCTCCAATGCTGAGATATAGAATAGATCAACCGCGTACAAGTTGCAGTCCATCAGTAACTGAGCATAATATATAGGATACCGAGTTTTTCTTTTTTAAAAAAATAAAAAATGCCAAGGATACAGTTGTCAGAAGGGCCAGTTTGGATCATCACTTAATCTGTTTATTTCTAAACTGTTTTGTTTATAAATTTTTAATATTTACCAACTTGAGCTAAGAAAATCCAATAATTGCAGATTTGGGGATGCAGCCTTTAAAGGACCTGTTTTCACAGTATTTACAGTGTGGGTGTCCTTAGAGTTTGGACTAACTTTGGCCGTGTGTTTTGTGCTTTATGATTTTTTTTTATCAACAAGCTATCATTCGTCATTCTATTTAATTATACACATATCAAAAGCAAATGTATTTTTGAAATACAGATTAGAGGTTTCTGATTGCTTGTTGAAGCTTTTCTCAAAACAAAACAAACAAAACCAAAACCTGAAATTGGGCACATGGGATTTTGCCAAAAGGCAGACAGGGGCAAATAGTGCAGAAATAATGGAAAAGATATTGCAGTAAACATGCTTGAGAACATAGATTTTAGCACTTCTCATTATTAAGATACACGTTATCAACCACTTGGCATCTTTCAAATAAAATCCAGTGTAGTCCCTCCTGCAAAGCGGCACAGGCCAGCAATGATCACAATTTGAAACTGTGAGTTAAGATCCAGAAACAGCCAGAAATCTAGATTTTTGTTGAGCAAAACCTACAGAGCACAGCAGCAGCAAAATGAGCCATGTTGCAGCCTCGTTATGTGTTTTAGGAGGAAGAACCAATCTTTTCCCAGGGATTGATTTGATTTGAAGGAGAGCCTCTGGTGCAGAGGTGGCAGAATAAATACCTGAAGACTAATGTTCTCTGTTCAGACAATCAATACCAGCCCCATGACTATACTTCTGGCTACCTTCTAGTTAAAAACAAATTTTTTAATTCTGACAATTTAATTGCCATTCCCAAGTTCACATTAACTTGCTTGGGAAAAAGGGGCTTTAGGTAATTTTTCAAAGGGAGAAAAAAATCCCTCCAAAATGGCTATTTATAAAAGTCAGTCTACTCGTGTGTTATGGGGGAAGGAAAGAGAGGTGAAGGTGTGTGAAGGTGTATGGGAAGGCAAAGTTTGGTGTGGAAAGAGTTAACTCTTTTCTGTGTTATTCCCTCCTCCCCAACCCGCCTGTTGTTTAGAAATTAAGCCAAAATATTTAGAAATGATCTAGATTTGGAAGTCAAAATTCAGCTCCTGGAAACCGGTATCAGGCAGAAATGAGTACTTCGGATTTAGATTGACTGCCACGCACAGCATTTTGTGAAAGAACCTTGAGTTGCAAGAAAATACTATTAGCAAGAGCTTTTTTAACAAGTGGTTTGTTGTTGGTTTTTAGTGACATGTTAAAAACCTGGTGGGGGGGGAGGATTAATGTAGTCTGTAGTATTTCAGTCAAGACAACAGGCTGTTAGTTGAGAGCGCTGTAACCCAAACTGACTGGAAACTGAGCACGGACAATATTGGATCTGACTGGTCAGTTTTCATTGCCTCGATTCAAGGGATAAAAGAAAAGTTGTAAAAATAAAATAAAAAATATCTGGTGTGAAAGTGCTCATTTTTTCCCCAACACTGTCTTCTTAAAGAAACAGGAGGACTAGAATGAGATTTCATTTATTCTCTGAAAAAAAAAAGCACCTTTTTCCTCAATTGCATTTTTTTCCCGATATATTTACCAGAAATAAAAAGCCTTTAGTAGTAAATTATCTTTTATGTGGTGCTTTCTGAAACTATTTTTCAGATGGCTTAAGAAAAAAATCCCTCCCTTGCTTAAGGTAAAGCTGTAAACAATTTAAAACAGTTTCTTTTTCTGTTAAAGCTCCAAGTTTGTCCAGCAGTATAAGCTAAACTGCTGGTTTTACACCCGTGTGTTCCAAAGACTTAGCAGGAATAAATGGGGCTCTATGCAGATGCAGAGATCTGCTTGCAAAGAGCTCCTCGAAGAAGGGGAAGTCAGGTCGCACAGAGTACTTTGGGAAGAACTGTATGGAATTATAGTAATGAAATGAAATTTCTGTGCTAGATGCATACTCTGCTGGCACACTGTTGTAGACCGTGCAGTGCACAGTCTGTGCCTTCAGGTCTTCATTTTGAGGAGATGTATATGAATATATGTTTAGGTTTGCAGGATTGGAGGCAGAAGCCCCAGTCATGCCAAGAATAGCCAGCCCTGGCAAAGAGCAGTTTGGGTTCACGGATGGCAGAGTAGGGTTTGGGGCCGAAATACGCAATCGGATGCACTATGCCTAGGCACAGAGGTGGGAACTGAACGTAAGTTGCATGAGAGACCTTCTCCGTCAGATACATTTATCTCTGATCAATAAATATGGAGAGAGAAGCAGAAGATTGTTTGGCTATACAAGCATATGAAGTAGATGAGTCTGTGTGGAATATATTCCTTTTCCATCCAAACACATACCCACGTCTGAGCTTGTATGTGCTGGATGTAGCCGTAGTGCGTAATTTGACTCAAGACAGGAGGGAAAAAAAAAAAAAAAAAAAAGCAACGGACTGTGGGTCAGAGTGTGCTGGTTTATTGCCTTCCAGAAGCTGGTATTTAACGATATGTATTAATGCTTTGCACCTCTGTGTACTTGTGTGCGCACACGTGTTTATGCATACTGACATGCTAAGAGGTGTCAATAGCTAGTATCATATGCAAAGAGATTACAGAAATGGGAAGTTTCCGTAAAAAAAGGACTAAAGTAACTCATGGCGTAAAATATTTTCTTAAAAGAAAAAAAAGGGCAATAACATCTTACATGATTTATATTTTTGAATCAGTATAATATTAGCTTGGGAAAAAAATAAAATCTGAATAAAGAAAGAGGATGAGGCAAAAGAGGGAAATTTCTTCTATCTCATCACCCGGGGCTTGGAAGGTGCCTTGTGTTTTTTTTATTTTATTTTCTTAATGAGAAAAACAGGAAGAAAGGACATAAAGGATATAGTACTATCTTGGGCTCCCCCCTTGCAGAAAAAAAAAAAAATTGTTTAGGCCAAATATGAAAGTATTAGATTTTGATCTTGTCTTTCACTTAAATATTAAATGAAAATAGGTAATGTTCAGTTTAAACTGGCACCTTCAATTTGATGCAGATAGGCTAAAAAGGAAGCAGGATTGGCAGATAGTTCCCATGCAAATGGAGTTTATGAAACAACAAATTAAGTTTGCCAATATTAATATATATATATATATACATATGCATGTGTGTATATTTATATGTTTGTTTATTCTTGGAATAGTTTTGTTCTATTTTACTTTGCTTTTCGTCTGCCCTGAGCGCAGGGCGGCCCCGGCGCAGCAGTGCATGTGGTGTGTATTAGGACACTGCTGGTAATTTTACTGCTGCTAACTTAAAATCCTCAAGGGGGAGTTAATTACAGGAAAACCTTTCTAAATATCAGCTGCATATTTTCCATGGCAAGAACTTTTTCAGCTCAGGTTGAACCACTCCAGAATGTGAGTTTTCCTTATTTACATATACCAGGGCATTTTAGGGAGGCGCGTGGGGTGGAGTAAAATTCAAGTGTGTGTGCTATGCAGATAGAGTTTTTTAAGGTATTTTGTTTGTTTGTTTAGGCTTGCTTACAAGTGGCAGTTCCTGTTTAGGGGGAAATGATCGTGCATAAATTGCATTTTGTGTGGCCGGTTAAACCTCTTTTTTTTTTTTTTTTTTTTTTTAAGCCAAAGGCCTAAAATGAAGCGGGGGACTTCTAGGGTCTCCTTTTTTTTTTTCCTCCTCTTTTTGGTTTTAAGTTTTCACATAATTGAAAAGTTGATTAAATTTATGTGCATATATTATATATTTACTTAAACAATTGAAACTTTATCTATTGCCACTGGGGACTTGCTTTCCTCTGTAAATGTTTGCAGAGCAGCATTTTTCCTAAGCAAGCGGGAAGTGGGGGGGGACCTGCGGCTCACGGCTGGCAGCAATCGGAGCAAGTCACAGCAGCCCAAAAGTGGCTGGTCACAAGAGTGTTTGGTGTCGGGGGTTGCAAACATGGGATAAGTATATAAAATAAATGTCTTAATAATGATAATAATAATAAAAATAAATAGCAATAAAATACAAAAAAACCTCTGCTGTCTTTTACCGTTTGACGGAGTGCTGGCTGGCTTGTGCGGGCAGCGAGCGACCGGCGGGGGGCTGC